GAGAGGTGTTTATATTATATAAATAAAGTGTCTATCCTTGGGTGATGGAGGAGAATCACACACACACACACACACACCACTAAACCATACATAATAATGCTGATCAAAATAACAGTATAAAACTTAAGCTGTGTAATCAATAGTGTGATTAAACAGATTTGTATGAATGTCTTCATAAGACAATTTGGTTAAAAATACTGACAGTGCAATAAAGAAATATTATTTATCTTTCTTGAATGAGACTTTAGATGATTTATGATCATGTTTTTTTTTGCTCTTTCACATTTTAAATCTCAGTTCAATGATCTATAATACATTTTGTACTTTCTCTTTACTAATGGATTCACCGCTAAACTGATCTGACCTGAGAGAGTGAAGAGTGTGTCATTGTTCTCAACAGCTTGAGTGATTGTGGCCTCAAAAGATCATCTCTCTGATAGTCTCATGTCTTTGTCCTTTAATGTAAATTCTCAGACTAAAGCTTGTAAAATAAATGTTCAGTAAACACACTAATTCTCAGCACAACTGACTCTGATGACTGAAGATGAAGTTCATTTCATTCATCATCTTCACATCACATGAGCTGCTGCTCCTGTTTTTGACCAACAAACATTTACTGGAACTTCAGTTTCTTCTGCTAGTTTGATTAATACTCCTTCACCTGCTCATCTCTGTGTAAGAGTTTATTTTCCTCTTATTTTCCACTTTTTCTGAAATCCTATGAGCTCATTGTGTTCTCGCAGATGTCATAAAGATTTAACCTGAATGTTCAGATACTAATGTGTGATTTTGTGATTTCTGTTCAGTTTATAAGCTGCCAAACATGACACGATGTGTTTGATCACAAGAGTTAATAAATGAGATGTAATGGGGAACACGTGGCTCCTGTGAAGCAAATGTCCTCCTGTAGGTGTTTATTAGAGGAGCAAGTGACTGTTTCTCCAGACAGATCAGTCCTTATATCACTATGAAACAATACCTCATGTTAAGCTCTGTGTGTCTGTTCAGTTCTGAAGCACGTGACAGT